AAACTGGCAGGGGAAGCCGTGGCGGTGGGAGTACTCCCACTCCCTGTTGACAATCTTGAAGGCGATGTCCTCGTAGGGCGGCCCGGCGTGGAAGCGCAGGATAGGATGGCGATTGTTGTCCTGACAGGCCTCCAGGAAGTACTCGGGCGTCGAGCGCTTGTCGATGAGGTCGGGGTAGAAGATGTTGAACTTGTAGCCCTGCACGATCTACAGGCCTCCAGGAAGTACTCGGGCGTCGAGCGCTTGTCGATGAGGTCGGGGTAGAAGATGTTGAACTTGTAGCCCTGCACGATCTTTCTTGAAGGCGATGTCCTCGTAGGGCGGCCCGGCGTGGAAGCGCAGGATGGCGAAGTCCTTGTTGTCCTGACAGGCCTCCAGGAAGTACTCGGGCGTCGAGCGCTTGTCGATGAGGTCGGGGTAGAAGATGTTGAACTTGTAGCCCTGCACGATCTTCGGGGGAGGGTTGTCGAAGTCGTAGTGGGTCTGGTTGTACTTGTTCCACTCGAAGCCCGTGTGCACGCGGTTGAAGAAACGCGGCTTGCGCGGGCGGTACTTGTCGGCCCACAGGTAGGCCTTGCCCGTCAGGGGCATCTCCACGCTGAACTGAGCCTCGTCCGCGCCCATGCCCTCCTTGGCCTTGCGGAAGAAGATGTCATCAGTGCTCTCAGAGGCATCCCCTGCAAAGGAGGAGAGGAGACATCAGTGTCCAGCCCTGACACCGCAGCAGGTGGTGGGTGAGGGATGCAGAGCTGGACACAGGGATGTGGACACTGCCCTGGGGACTCTGAGTGGGCACCAGGCTGACTTGTGCTGGGAAACTCCTCCAAAACACTCCTCCCACCTGTCTGCACCAGAATACCTTGTCATTCCCACAGGGAATGTCATTCCCCACAGGGAATGACAACACTCTGAGCCCCATCTTGTGTCCAGGTCTGGGTTCCTCAGGACAAGAGGGACACGGAGCTCCTGAAGTAGGTCCAGCCGTGGGCAAGGAAGATGCTGAAGAGACTGGAGCACCTCAGTGATAAGGAAAGGCTGAGGGAATTGTGCCTGCTCAGTCTCGAGAAGAGACGACTGGGAGGGATCTCGTTAATGTATGGATATTATGTACATGAACAGGAGGTGCCAAGAGGATGGATCAGACTCTTCTCAGTGGTGGAAACCAATAAAACAAGAGTGAACAGCAAAAACCGATGCACAGGAAGAACTTCCCTGTGCAGTCAAGTCACTGAGAACAGATTGCCCAGAGAGATTGTGGGTTTTCCTCAATGAAGGTGTTCAAGAACCATCTCAACACAACCCTGACCCATATGCTCTAGGGTGACCCTGCTCGAGGTGGGAGGTGGGCCCAGATAACCCAGTGTGGTCCCTTCCAACCTGACTGGTTCTGTGATTTCCCTGCTCCAGGCTGGACCACATCCAGGGAATCCCTTTGCCAGCCCAGCTCCAGGTGCCTGCTCCTTCCTCAATGAAGGTGTTCAAGAACCATCTCAACACAACCCTGACCCATATGCTCTAGGGTGACCCTGCTCGAGGTGGGAGGTGGGCCCAGATAACCCAGTGTGGTCCCTTCCAACCTGACTGGTTCTGTGATTTCCCTGCTCCAGGCTGGACCACATCCAGGGAATCCCTTTGCCAGCCCAGCTCCAGGTGCCTGCTCCAGATCCAGCATCCTCACCCTTTCCCAAGGGCAGTGCCCCCTCCAGCCCTGCACACCCACGGGACTCACCTGTCACCTGGAGCTGCTGGCGCAGGAGCAGCAGTCGGTGCGTGTCCTCCTCGGCCTCCAGCACGTGGGCGTCGAAGGGCAGCTCGTTGGGGCCCAGCAGCCTGGGGCTGTACTTGCCAGCATCATAGTCGTCCAGGCTCTGCTGGATCAGGTCCTCCTCCATCAGCACAGCCTCCCCCTCGGCCTCGCCCTTGGCCTCGGCGTCCTGCTCTGCCTCTGGCTCCGAGGACGGCCCTGGCTGCGCCTCAAGGCTCTCCTCTGGGTCCAGCCTGCACGGAAGGGAGAAGAGAGGACTGGGACGGGGATGGTACCCTCGTTCTCTGCTCCCCTGCGCTCTGCTCGGGCAAGGACGGGAGCACGAGGCTGCCGGAGTGTCCCACGGGAGAGGCCTGGAGGGCTGTGCTCCTCAGAGAGCTGCTTACCTGTCGCTGGGGGAGGCTGGTTCCCGCTTGATGATGGGGAAGAGTGGCTCACTCTCCACCCCCTGCTCCTGCTTCAGCTTGTACAGCTTCTGGCGCAGCACGTCCTGGTGCCGCTCCCGCAGCCTGTGGGAGCAGAGGAGCCATCATCAGGTCTGTCTCACACCCACTGCCCAGAGCTGTGACAGCCACCACAGCACAAGAAACCTGCTGGGTTTGGGCTGAACAACCCCCAGGTTGGTTCCCTCTTGGAGACCTCATAGACATCATCACCAGAGAATCATGAAATATTCAGTGTTGGAAGGGACCCTTAAGGGTCACTGAATCCAACTCTTGGCCCTGCGCAGGACATCTCTGAGAATCACACCAAATGCCTGAGAGCATTGTCCAAACGCTCCTTGAGCTCTGTCAGGCTTGGGGCCATGGAGAAGGGACAGTGTCCAGCCCTACTCCCCTCTTGGGAACCAGCCATCTCCGAGGTATAAACCTCTTCCACCAACAACCTGGAGTCTGTGCCACCCCCAGGCCCTGCTCTCACCTGGCCCGAGCCATGTAAGCCTTCAGCTGCTGCAGGAGGCTCTCCCAGTACCCGATGTCCAGGTTGGGCCCCCCGGCCCGGATCTTGCTCTCGATGCCCTGGTACAGAGCTTGCAGCTGGTTGTAGGTCTTTCCCTTGAACACAGACTGCACGTCTGAGCTGACCGAGGCGTTGACGCCGTCACGGCGCTCCCCTGCACAGGTGAGGGCAGAAGGTCACCCTCGGGGCACTCACCAGCCTTCAGCCCAGCCCTCCTGGCAGCAGGAGGCTGGAGCCCAGCTGGGAATGGCTGCCAGACCCACAGCCTCCACCCAGCAGGGCCCAGAGAGCCTCTCTGAGCCTGAGTGACACAGCAGATCATGCTATGCATCACCCACCACTCACACTCCCCTTGACACCCACACCAGGCCCTGCCCTCCCACTCACAGCTTCATGGCATGTTCAGGGGGTGGAACAGACCTCAAATCGTCCAGCCCCAACCTCCTACCAAAGCAGGCTGCTCAAGGCTCATCCAACCTGGCTGTGAACACTGCCAGGGCTGGGGCAGCCACAGCATCCCTGCGCAAACT